CTCAAAGTTTCCCCCTTTCTGAATATAAATAAATATATATATAAAGAGAGAGAGAGAGGGGGGACAATAAGAATTTCCTGATTACCATTAGTTTGATATAAACTCTATTCCCTAGCTTGAGAGAAGTTGCCAACTATCCTATGTTTTGTAACTAGAGGAGCTTGGTTTACTCAGCTTTCGAGATTATGTGGAAGTCTTTTAAAAATTTATTTGCCAAAAATGTATAATGCCCCATATAAGATACAAAACTTAAGTTTAATGTTATATAATTCAAGGATCTTTGCTTTCTAGAAAAATGTAAAAAGGAGAACATTTGTAGCATTTCCCTCTGAATGAGAGATTTTGACTGTTCCTGTTTTGTGCTTAAAAGGGTATCCAGAAGCCACCACCTCTGCCATTTTCATACACTGATGAGTTTTAAATGTTTCTGAAAATGAGACATATTTACATTGGAAACTAAAACCTGAGAGGAGGGAGGCTCAAAATTCAACAAACAGGATGCAGAATGCAATGTAATGGTGAATGTAACTCATAACCATGGGAATTACTTTCTTTTACAGGCAGCTAATCATTGTTTAATTTCTATAACTATTATAAATATCCTTTGGAAAGAAGAATGGGATAATTATAATTATAGTACAGAATATGTGGCTCCATTATGACTGTTAATATCTGATCTCTTACATGATTTTAAAAATCTTTTTAATAATGATTCTTTTTGTAGATATGTTTATTGTTTTATATCCTTCCTGTGTGCCATCCAGAGACATTTTTGTGAGAGAGCTATCCACGTAAATTTGATAGGTAAATAAATCCCTTATTATAAAAGAAATACAAACATTGGGAGCTAAATACTCTAATTCTGTGTTGTGTCATATTCGGTATAGATGGATGGTGATGTTTCATAATTGGCTGCTTTCATTTATTTGTAGGGTTGCCAGGTGTCCACTATTTGAGTGGACAGTCCGCTTTTTTCACATTATGTTCACTATTTTTTTCCACAAAATAGTGGACATTTTTTTTATTCAAAAGCTTTATGATGAAATGGTACGTAATCTAAAGCTGTACAGTCTACTTTTTTTACTACTTAACCCCCCCCCCCC